TTGTAGCACATGTGGTACAGCACTTACAGCACTCCACTGGGGTACTATACTGTGTATTCAAGGCCTTCTAAACAGAAGTATAGAAGATGGACTACTTACTTGAAAAGGGAGTCAAATGCACTTCTTGATTCTTGGCACTAATGATTTCACTTTCCCTTGTAATCTGAATCCATTTGTCCCCTCTCCCTAGATTACCTAGCATCTTTGTGACTGCAAATCTAGTCCAACAACATGACTAAAACTAGATATGACAAGTTTTTGATGTGTGTTTCAGGCATTCCTCTGCCTGCCTGTACACACTAACTCCAGTGCAGCCCTTAGTAACCTTAAGGATGCTTAAATGACCAAGGAGCCCAGTAAATATGCCCAATGACAGAGGCTGAAAATGGATTCTTATAGGTCATTCTACATAAACTACATATATTCCACTGCTGTGATACAGTCTGAACCCCTACAGAACACCTCAGAATCAGAATCAGAATCATCTTTATTGGCCACAAGGAATTTGACTCTGGTACAGCAGCTCTCAATGTGCATGTACATATCCCCATGCAAGGCAACAGCAAGGGGCAAGTAAACAGTGAATCAACATAAGGCTTCACAAATTTACCAGCAGATTCCACCAAACAATGGTTTAAGGACCTTGATCCTCCTCATCACAAAACCCCACTCCCTTTAAATCAAATACTGTATGTGACAAAATGTGTGCAATGCAAAACCAGGTCAAGATTGTGAATCTAATCTGCCAGGCTTGTTGGTGAGGATTAGGTTGACTGTATTTGATCTGGCAGGTGGCCTACAGAGACAGGAGAATCAAGATGTAGGGAGGCAAAATACATTTTCTCTGTCTTGAAGGAATTCCTAGAGCAGAAGGTTTTAATCTATTGATCCCATAGAAATCTCTTACAAGACTGAATAAAAAAAACATTCTTCTCTTGTAAAATGGATCAATTCGTGCAAAATCAAATGAATGTTTTTTAAACACTTCTCCTGCTGAGTGAAGTAACTTGCTGGTAGTTCAACTATATTCATATTTGTATAGTGATCCTAGTAGTGAACATATCCTGTCTGGGTGCATGGGTATTGTTGTGCTTCATGTTTTCTGTTGTTCCTGCTCATACTGCCATGCTATTGATCACCAGTAAATAGTTGTTGTTCAATCATCCATCCTCTCCTGATTACTGGCCATCCACCACAAGAATTACTTTTTTGGCATTTTTGTGTAATTAACTACTGAAACTCAAATTCATTTTGGGTCATAAAAGGAATGATTTTTATATTTGCTTTACCATGCTGCATGTGAGCAGCTTTTCAGTGTTGACAAGAACATTTGGATGAGAACTTCAAAAGACTCCAAGAGATTATGCTCTGACAAGTAAAAAGACAGGCCCATTATTTATACCTGTTCATACTGTCTAAAAAGATGCAGGTTGAAGATTTGTTTAGTTGTTGAGATTTGAAAGGTCTCCTGTTACAAACTGATGAGCAAGACAACCAGTGACTGAGTCAATCAAACAGTGGAAAAGGTGCAAGTAATTTTTTTTTTCTTTACTGTTTTAGTTGTAATTAGATAATACAAAATCCTGATAACAGTCGTCAAAATTTGGTCCTTGTGAAAAGCCCAGATGGGACTGTTTTGTTTAGGACTCAGGTAATAAACATTTTTGTACTAGATTTTTTAAATAATTTATATCACATGTACATTGTCAATGTGATTTTTTTTACAAGGTAGTTTGAACTACACTTCCTAAGCAGCTTTGCTGTAGTTCAACTTCTTCCAGTGTGAAACGGTAGCTGGCAAAGCCACGCTTTCAAAGTAGCTTCCCCAACAATGGAATTCACATACATGGCTTTTATACATATTGCATATAGCACATACACATAACGAAAGTTTGACAAGAATCTACAATATACAGTATGTTTACACAATGTTAGGTGTCAATGATCTTTCTTGAGATTTGAGGAGGACACTCTAGACTGTCCAGACAACTCAGTTTGGGGATGAAGCAGTCAGTCAGGCTAATCCTTCTAGTTTTACTCAGATTAAGTCCAAAGGGGAATCACAGAGATCACAGAGATTATCATGTCATGACTCAGGGACTAAAATGTGACTCTAGGGTACATGGTGCATTTGGAATAAGTGTGGATGGCAGTGAAGAGATGCTGTATTAAGACATATCCCAGACTAATTTCATTGTCTTCACAAAAGAATTCTAAGGTATTTGACAAATAGACAGGAAATTATCTGTTTTATGACAATGATATCTTGATTTAGCATTATTAGATTCCACATTTAACCCTCACCATCTTTCCATCTCTTCTCTGTCCCCATGACCGCATAACTCATTTAGCACCATCAACCCATTTTTTCAGTGGTAGCTGCTACAAATGACTCTTTAGTGCCACAAGAATGATAAATGATCTTAATAGGTAGCTTGGTTTAAAGGTCTCTGTGCCCCATTTTTGGTCTGCCAGTCATGGTGTAAAATGTGAATCATATGAGGGCCAGTCTACCTCTGAAAACAGCTTTGATGCCTCAAGGGGAATAGGAGACGACTCACTGTGACAGACAGAACAGCCACATCAATATCTGTCCAGCTGTTAAGTAACGTTAAACCCACGCTACAGGATAATTAGCCCGATTTTGTGCCCAATTGCCCTTCCTGACAATCGTGGGGGCATTCTCCACAGTGAGGCCGCTCAGACGTGATTTTCAGGCCAAATGATCCTGTAATGTCTGGTGTTAAATGACTTAATCATCATGCCTCTGTCAATATCTGAACGGACATCTTAATGGAGTGGATAATAAAAAATTTGAAAAAAATTTTAAAGGCTACATTTTTGAAGATAGGTGTGTTCGCAGCTGAATTTTGCATTTTAAACATCTGAAGTAGATGAAATACTGAAACAATTAAAGTCATAGTTGAAGTGGTTGAAGCTGAAATATAGTTTCAGAAAGAAGATAAAATAGTAGTTCAAATGAAAATGCAGAAAGAAGCCGTGTCAAGTGTTAATTTAAATGTTAAATTACTGAGTAAAGTTGAGGACTGGATCACATGATGTGAAAGGGCTCAAATGAGTTAAAGATCAAGCACTGAAGGGTGCTGATGTTGTTGAAGTGTTGACAAATTTACCTGCATGTGTCAGTTGACATTCTGAAAGAAATTACTGCAAGTTCAAGTGTATAAATTGAAAGATAATGTCAGCTGACATGGAAACGATAAAGATAGTTCAAATGTGTGCACTTGAAGCAGCTGAAATATCCAATAGTTAATTAGCGCACACTGTTTTGATTCAAAACAAACTTCTGGAAGCAGTATGTTAAATTGCCTTACATCTGTCAGGTACACTGGTTATTTTATATTGTAGTGACTTATAATGTAGACTCTTATGTGTTTGACAGCCATGACTATGCTGAATAACTGAGATGAAAAGATGATCATATGAAGGCATTTTGATATTTAGGTGACATATGCAGACTGTACCTGGCTAAAAGACAGTATACAGTTGTAATCAAGAGAATTACTGTATCCCTGTCATGACAGAAACATCTCACCTCACTTAAACCCACCGAAACACGAGTCTGTGTGCATACAGTACATGTGGGATTGGATGTGACATGCTACTATGATCTAACCTGACTAACTCCTAAGTAATGGCAATCCTTAACTGTACAAACCAATCAGTGGATTCTGTTTGATGAAGTATCAATCACAGTCCTGCAGGAAATGTAGTGTGGTATAAGCATCTGGTTATAATGTATACTGTATGTGGGTGTTCATGCATATGACTTTTGTGTGGCAATGCTGTTTCCTTTAATTGTTGGAGAGTAACATTTTAATCCATCATAATAGTACTAAATCAATGCTTTCTCTTGTTTACTGAATATCAAGAGAGCTTAAAATTCACTAGACAGCTAGAAGCACAACTAAGAAAACACAAAAGTTGCTGTCTAGAAATCTGTGTTAACTTTGTTTATTCGTGATTGGCCGGGGCTCCCACAAGTGAAACAAAACAATGTTAAATCATTCCACTATCCACATCATGAGCGATCCTTTGTTACAGTATGGCAGAAATTGCTAGTATAAACATTCTTCAAGGAGAAGACTTAACAACAAAGCTTGTTTAGACATTGGATGAAATTGCAAAAAAATGGTCAGTGTTTATCAAAACCTTTGTAAGAGTGTAGTATATGGAATACACATAGTGCACTACATAGTAAAGGCACAAAAATATCATGAGTGACATGTAATTAATCCTTTCTCTAAATACTGCAGACAGCCCACTGTGCTGCAGGAGCTGGCTAACTAACCGCAGGCCGAAGAGAGTCAATTATTTGATCACATTATAGACAACAGCATCAAATCTATTCTGTATTCTGTGTAGGCCTTTGCTATTTGCTGTAGGGCTAAAAATAAATCTAATAAATCTCCCAGTTTTTATAGGTAATAAAAATAAGAAAAAAATTCTACCATGAAACGCAGAATTAAGGCTCTCTCACATGCAATAACCTGTACAGAGCCCTTTGCTAACAAAAAGATATGCACAGTGGGATCTGGGTCTGCAGACTTATGCAGGATTATGTTTGTGTGAGTGAGCAGCAATAGAGGACATTTGCTGGCTGTCTTGGCAGCTTTCAAAGAAAAGAGCATGCTATTAGGAGGTTCTCCTTGTCTGGAGCACGGGGAGAAATAGTCTGTCTGTCTCAACTGTCAGGCTGACTGATGAGAGCCGTTATCAGGTGTATATCTGTGTGCACATATTTTCTGACAACTACCTGGCAGACAGCGCTTTCAGGTGTTCAAAAAGGAAGTATTCTGAGACATGAGGCATTTAAGAATTACTGTCTGGCCCAAACTGTAACTTAGGCTCTCATTGTAGATACAACTGCATGACAACATGAATCATTTCGTCATTGGCCTGGATAGTGACTCTATCTAAAGGCATGGTGAGGAGATGATGAATTACATTAAAAGATGTGATGAGTGCATATACTGCACCTTGGGCTGCTACAGAAGCGCTCTCTGTACATGACCCCTCCTCCACAGGTTCTGGAGCAGTCAGACCACTGGGACCAGGCTGACCACTGGCCATGGACCGCCCGGGGACCATGCTCCCCATATTTAACACACTGACCCCTCCGACACCACTGGAACAAAGAGAAAAAAAAGGAAAAAATGAGAGAAAAGAATAAGGCACACAGATATGGCTTTTTTATCAGAACTTTAGTGCTGGCCCTGCAGCCCGGGTAATTTGCCTGAATTTTCTTGTTTGGACAAATGCCCAGCACCCCATCTGGACACTCATACTCTCTAGGTACAGCCAAAACACATACACTTGCACTGTGCACCACGCGCAAGCCGATCCAAGCAAAACCCTGCACTCATACACACTAGCACCTCTCTGTCTTTCTAAATATCATCTTAGATATGTGAGGAGGAGCAGCTGCTTTGTGTCCATCTGAGATCTGAGAGAACTGACAAACTGCAGAAATGCTTCTGCAGGCACATGCCTACAGTGGTGTGAAAAAGTGTTTGCCCCCTTACTGATTTCTTATCTTTTTGCATGTTTGTCACACTGTAATGTTTCAGATCGTCAAACAAATTTATATATTAGTCAAAGATAACACAAGTAAACACATCATGCAGTTTTTAAATGAAGGTTTTTATTATTAAGGGAAAACAAAATCCAAAACTACAAAGCCCTGTGTGAATAAGTGTTTGCCCCCTAAACCGAATAACTGGTTGGGCCACCCTTAGCAGCAACAACTGCAATCAAGCGTTTTCGATAACTTGCCATGAGTCTGCCACAGCGCTGTGGAGGAATTTTGGCCCACTCATCTTGGCAGAATTGTTGTAAGTCAGCCACATTGGAAGGTTTTCGGGCATGAACTGCCTTTTTAAGGTCATGCCACAGCATCTCAATTGGATTCAGGTCAGGACTTTGACTAGGCCACTCCAAAGTCTTCATTTTGTTTTTCTTCAGCCATTCAGAAGTGGACTTGCTGGTGTGCTTTGGATCATTGTCCTGCTGCAGAACCCAAGTTCGCTTCAGCTTGAGGTCACAAACGGATGGCCGGACATTCTCCTTCAGGATATTTTGGTACACAGCAGAATTCAGGGTTCCATTTATCACAGCAAGTCTTCCAGGCCCTGAAGCAGCAAAACAGCCCCAGACCATCACACTACCACCACCAATATTTTACTGTTTGTATGATGTTCTTTTTCTGAAATGCGGTGTTACTTTTACGCCACACATAATGGGACACACACCTTCCAAAAAGTTCAACTTTTGTCTCGTCTGTCCACAGAGTATTATCCCAAAAGTCTTGGGGATCATCAAGATGTTTTCTGGCAAAACTGAGACGAGCCTTTATGTTCTTTTTGCTCAGCAGTGGTTTTCGTCTTGGAACTCTGCCATGCAAACCATTTTTGCCCAGTCTCTTTCTTATGGTGGAGTCATGAACACTCACCTTAACTGAGGCAAGTGAGGCCTGCAGTTCTTTGGATGTTGTTGTGGGGTCTTTTGTGACCTCTTGGATGAGTTGTCGCTGCGCTCTTGGGGTAATTTTGGTCGGCCGGCCACTCCTGGGAAGGTTCTCCACTGTTCCATGTTTTCGCCATTTGTGGATAATGGCTCTCACTGTGGTTCGCTGCAGTCCCAAAGCTTTAGAAATGGCTTTATAACCTTTTCCAAACTGATAGAGCTCAATTATTCTCTTTCTCATTTGGTTTTGAATTTCTTTGGATCTCGGCATGATGTCTAGCTTTTGAGGATCTTTTGGTCTACTTCACTTTGTCAGGCAGGTCCTATTTAAGTGATTTCTTGATTGCGAACAGGTGTGGCAGTAATCAGGCCTGGGTGTGGCTAGAGAAATTGAACTCAGGTGCGATAAACCAGTGTTTTGACAGGGGGGCAAACACTTGTTCACACAGGGCTATATAGTTTTGGATTTTGTTTTCCCTTAATAATAAAAACCTTCATTTAAAAACTGCATGATGTGTTTACTTGTGTTATCTTTGACTAATATATAAATTTGTTTGACGATCTGAAACATTACAGTGTGACAAACATGCAAAAAGATAAGAAATCAGTAAGGGGGCAAACACTTTTTCACACCACTGTATATGAGCAGCAAGGATGGATACTCTGGAGATGAAGTATTGATATATGTAACTGGCTTTTAATTAAGTGTCCAAATAAAAGAAAAGACTGTTGTATTCTCAGCCTTTATATGTTGTACGTTTTACTTTGGTCAAGGAAAGTTAAGCATGTTTTTAGCTTAAAAACTATTATAGTCTAACTTCATTGTTGTATGTATAGCCTTTAATATTCACCAGTTACTATAATATTTAATGCAGCAAGAATGAGCAGTTAGTCAGAGAGGTTGTAAACAAGCTAACAGTTTAGTCCTACTTTTCCAAAACCTAAAGCAGCAACCCAAAATGGGTCATGGAGCCGTTTTTATGGAGTGGCCAAATGGCAGAGTAAAATGTATAACAATGCTATGATATGTGAATTTATTTTCTTAAGTAAAACAGAAGAAGAGTTAGATTTTTTCTGTGCTGAGCTGTTGAGCTCCCTTTCTCCTCTCAACCTGATCTTGGTAGGTAACAACTGTCCATCGGGATGTTCTGGAATTTTCCTAGAGGGACAGTGTTTTTCTCCTAAAGCACTTAGACATTTACAGCCCATACAGATAGTGAAAAGGCCATCTCAGCTGCAGCAACCCTGCTGGTGTAACAGCAGTAAGAGCTGTTACTTGAGGGACCAGATGCTCTTATCATTCACAAGAAGAAGAAGAAGACCATTCCTCACCATATCAGGACCACAGCTAGTGCCTTCAGCAGCAGGCATGAACTTAGTCTCACACCGGTGTCCTGCGTGATGACACCACAGTGACTTGCAGATGTCCTGTCAAACAACACACATATAAGCGCACAGTATGAGACATCTATCAGACATGGTGCTTTCTATCATCATCTCTTTTGGCCTTTAATGTTATCATGTTTCTTCCTTTTTTCCTCTTCCCTGACTTGACACCACCTGCTTCTTGCCAGGACCACCATCATGCTGGTCAATACACCCCATGGTCCTGATAACTAGGAATAATCATCTCCATAAAGCCTCAAACACAGTGTCAAATCTAATCACTGTACTTTTTTAATGAAACTAGACATAATTATTTGTGCCATCTGAGCACAGAGGGAGAGAAAGGAGGCAGAGTCTGACAGCTCACCCATCTGCAACAGGCAACGAGAGAGAAACCAGAAAGTACAAGGGGAAAGAGCAAGAGAAAATGCCCAGGCGTGTGTGTTTGATTATTTGTCCTCATGCTGATTTAGTTCTCTGACACCAAGCAGGTGTTTGAAAGCTACACTGGCATGCTGAAAATCATTTTACGAGTCCATTAGGTACAAAGAAAAACAAAGAAGAAAAGTGAGAAAGACAGCCCCAAATCCACTGTTAATCAGCTTGTAGATTAATTTACCACCCACCAACTAGCACACAAGTCTAAGAAATGCAGATGTGGTATTTGAATGTCTGTTAGGGAATCACAGGCATTTAGAGAAGTCTTGAATAGCCAAGACCATGTCAGGTGTGTTAATCTGTCATATATACGATTTGGCAAAGTCCATTTCCCAGCAATTACTGAAAGAGAACTGCACATACAATTTAAAACAGCATTTGTATGTGAATCAACACCACTGAATGAAGGCCTATTTCTCTCAAATATTGTTCACAAATCTGTCTAAATCTGTGTCAGTGAGCACTTCTCCTTTGCTGAGGTAATCCATCCACCTCACAGGTGTGGCATATCAAGATGCTGATTAGACAGCATGATTATTGCACAGGTGTGTCTTAGGCTGGCCACAATAAAAGGCCACTCTAAAATATGCAGTTTTATCACACAACACATGGCCACAGATGATGTACGTTTTGAGGGAGCGTGCAATTGGCATGCTGACTGCAGGAATGTCCACCAGAGCTGTTGCCCGTGAATTGAATGCTCATTTCTCTACCATAAGCAGTCTCCAAAGGCGTTTCAGAGAATTTGGCAGTACATCCAACCGGCCTCACAACTGCAGACCATGTGTAACCACACCAGCCCAGGACCTCCACATCCAGCATCTTCACCTCCAAGATCATCTGAGACCAGCCACCCGGACAGCTGCTGCAACAATCGGTTTGCATAACCAAAGAATTTCTGCACAAACTGGTAGAAACCGTCTGACAGCTTTATTGTATTGGCGGGGGGCATATCTCTACTAGACAGGTAATTATCAGTTTTATTTTGTTTGAGGGACATTTGTTATTTTCCTGATATCTCTAAGTAATAGTCAGGCAGTGCACATTGTGTTTTGGAGGAATGGCTTTGGAGAGAAGTCAGAACCATAGGGTGGGATTTCTTTGATTGGCTACTTTCAAAATTGGGCTTTCTCTTGCTGAATTTTCCAGAATGTCCAACCCTACATTTAAGTTATGTATAAACCAAATCCAAAACAATGAGCTGAAAGGTGCTGAAATGCTCCGTAGAGATGAGTGGAACTGTCACTCTGGGTGTACCCTTCATATACAATACAAGTACTTATGTGATCTACTGTAACTTCTAAAATATACATTATAGCAATTTTTAATAAAGGTAAAATGAAGTGAAGTCAACAAAGGAAAACCATGCTACAAATGTTTAAAATGAATAACTCACCTTGACAAAATCTAGACTGCACAGCTTGGCCTTGAAACCAAACTGCCACTTGCACTGTGTGTCTGCGTCATACAGCTGCCCAGGAAGCTGTTCAGGGTACTTGTACTGACCAATCTGCTTGGGCTCATCCACCAGACAGGATGCCTGGGCTGTTCTGGTAATGCAGCAAACCACCTGTGTCAGTTGGAAAGACAGCAATACCAACTGACTGGAAAGTCTGACACTGTATGTGCATCAGGCCTACCCAAGGAAGCGACTGAGGTACTGACGACTGCAGATGGACCAGGAGAAGACCCCATTGTTTCCAGCCAGAGTAGGAGACATAATATTACCCTCCGTCTTGCGACAAGTGTTGCCCTCCCCATCATGGATCATCCCAAAACTAGACAACATGGAGAAAAATATGAGACTTTAAGTCCACATGTAACAAGGCACATAAAGACGGTTCTTGAGTAAAAGTGAGTTTTTTTTTTTTATTTCCTTTGATTATTTTTATTGACACTGTTTTCCTTAAAGTTGATGTCAGTGTTTACCCACCTTTTTATGTTACAGTATGTAATAAAATGAACATATACGTAGCTTATTGCATGTCAATACTACACTGTCATATGTTTAGCAATCATTTCTTTGTTAATTTTCTCTGTGATTAACAGTTTTTGGTCTTGATTCAATGTGGTTCTGGGCAAGCATTCTATGTCTTTAGCTGGAAAAATTCATCAGGATACTGTAGCTTATAGACACTCTGACATATTATCACCTAGGTGAAGTAAGAAAAATACTTTGTTTCCAGTTTGTGTTGAGAGCATGCCAGACAGAAAGAAGAGTTTTACCACAAAATTAATTCTACTAATATCAAAAATAAACTGACTGGAAACTCAATGGAAATGTATAAGCACAAACACACAGTTGTACAGCCTGCGGTAGTTTCCATTATTCTCCCACAAAGTGTCAAGGAGTGGATGAAGTAGTGCTCTTATTTCAGAGTGTATTTGTTTCTTTAAATCAAACCACATTTCATTTAATATAGCTTTAGTACATCCACTTAGCACACTGTGTTTCAGAGTGTGAGGTGTGGCCTTGGGGGTGCCAGAGGATTTTAGGGGAGGCACAGCGTGAGAAAAAATAAACCAGAAAAATTAACTGTACACATCAAACTTGAGCTAGGCTATGTGTGAGGCAAAATGTATTGATTTGTAGTAACTTATTTCAATGAGAGAGGAGACGGGGGCAAACAGGAAATGGAAAAAGTATGACTGAATAAGCTTGGATTTTCATGGACTGGTCCTGATCCACAGTGTTATTTGCAAAATGGTGCTAGCTAATGACAGAATGAGACCAAACATGTTTGGTGATCAAGTGAGTTTGTTAATAAGAAGCTTGAACCGCAATCATAAAAGGTAGTAACTGAGACATTAGCACTGTGAGTACTGAGGCAATCAAACATATCGCATTGTGTTATACGCAACTAAGGCAGCCATATGGAATATGCATGATGTGGAGATAGTGATATGAAAAGCAGCACTGTGCATAGTGCACAGTGATGATTTAGTAGTTCCTCATAGTTTCCTGAGGAGATAGTCGGCACTGACCTCAGATCAGACCTTGTGTTGTAGTCAGAAGCACAGTGTACTGTATATTTTGCCAATTCTGTAGACACAGCTTATGAGAGGAAGAAACTGAATTACACAGAATTAGCCATGGAGGCAGAGGAGTGTGTCTTGAAAGTTAAAGTCCACCCCGTGGAAGTTGGTTGTAGGGGATTTGTAGCTACGTCAACAGTCTCTCTGCTAGGTGAGTTGGTATAAAAGGGCGGAGCCTAAGACAGGTAATTGGGAGCCTAGCTGATAGTGTAGAAAAGTCTCAGTGGCTCTGCGGTAGAAGAAAGGTGTGTGAATGAGGTAAAAATAGGTAAGTGATTTATAAATGGCAAAATATGTGAGGATTATGCCTGTTAAGCTGAAGTAAACTAGCACAGGAGGAAAAGCTTAGTAAAAGTGTTTGATACATGCAGCAGACTAGAAGCCCGTTTCCTGTTGTTGGCATGAGCAAGCTAACATGAGGGCATAATAGAAGTTCGATTGGTTTGTTGGAAGGAATACTAACATGGGGTGGTTTCTGATGCAGTATAAAAGGAAGCAGAAGTCTGCTAGTTATCTGGTGAGCTGTTTTAAATGTTTGGTGGCTAGAACAGCAGTTGAAATTGTGCTAGTGCTAGTGACTGTTTGGTAACAATTAGCCGGCATCTTCCTGAGTAGATGAAGGATTGTGTTGGGTGTGTGGGTGTAGGCAAAGAGGAGGGTGGTTCTGGGATGCTGGAACACACTGATGAGTCTTCTCTGTGTCGTGGGCCCAACTCAATGAACCACCAGTTAGTGAGAAGGTGCCCACCTGATGACCCTGTAGATTTGCCTTGACTCCTACACCCACACAGAACTTGAATAGGTGTTGGTGATAATATAGTTACAGACTCACTGGAATTGTTAATAGTCGTCTTTTGTTAGACAGTCTTTGTAGAACAGTGTCAGTGGTTGGACAACTCAGCTCTCAGAGATGACTGTCACTACAAGCCAGTTGGCCCAGCCACTGCTTAATCTGAGCAAATACAATGCAGATGCTGCATCAAGCCACGTATCTGCTCTTTGCTTGGGTGAGGAAAGGATTTAGGGATGCATTAAAGGTAGCTTAGGTCTGGAAAATGGTGTTGCTTATTGTGGGGCTCTGAAGATTTATGATGGCATGGCCTGACACGCCTTCTTTGGGCCAAATAATGAGTAAACATCATTTAACTCATATACTGAGCTTCCATATGAATGCCCTCCCATTCTTTGGCACATTTAATTGTGTATTATTGACTGGTGGCTGACTGAGTTTGATGTGCTCAAAAATAATTTAATTTGAGTAAAACTGCACAAATAGGCCTAAAAAATGTGCAGGAGCCAAGAAAGTATTTCAGTTTCACGCTTGTCATGCAGTCACTAATGTTGCTGTGTGTGTGTGTCACTGGGGCATAGCAGTAGAGGACCGATTAATTAATATCACCCATGCACTGGTTGTTTGGCAGTTTGGTGTGAGAGGGAGAAGATATGGGAGCCCTCTTTTCTGTTGACCGCTATGTTGTGGGGAATGTTGTCCAGTTACATAGCCCATGTTTCACATTTTGACTGACTTGTAAGATAGTTTGCTTCTTCAATAACACTGGAAAACACTGGATACAGATTTTTTTTTTTTTAAGAAATCAATGTGTAATAGTCCTAGTAATAGAGTTTGCTTAAAAGATGTTTACATTTTTTTGTTGCAAGCTATTTTATGGCTGAGTAGAACATACAGTAGGCTACTCCAACAGTAACAACAACCGTTTTTTTGCAGGGGGGTCACAATCTCCTCTGAGGAGAGGCTCACCTCCCCACACTTGAAAACCCCTGACTTAGAGCATAGAGCCAGTATAGAGACTGGTGCAGTGCACTGTTGTAAAATCACACTAAAGTCTGACACAGTTTCAGCTCTTTATGTCTACTACTGTTTGTTTTGCTTTATAACTATGACATATGAAAAGTGATGTGGTGTCAAGAATTTGTCTCACTTATTAACTTTGTCTCAATGCAGTTTTTGCTAAACATACTTGTGTCCCGACTCATGAGCAATGGTGAATGCCAAGCCGAGTCCTGTGTCCTCATTGATGGTACAACTCCTGTACTTACTACACATGCCACTGATGGGGGCAAAGCCTGCATAGAGAAAGGAAGGAGAGAGATAAGGTGTGAGGAGTGTGCAATTCTTGGTTATCAACTATAACATATGGACCTGATAAAAATGCAGGCGAACAACATCAAATTTCAAATCTGTAACATACAAAATATATTGTACCTATATCCCTGTATTGTAACTGAACACATTCTTCCTGTTCAGATTTGGCAGGCAACAATTGTCTGTCACATTCACATACATACTGTACATGCATAAAGGGGAATTTCACAGTCACAGCTGCAAAGTGCTGCCTCTCAAGCCCTAGCCCATTTTTCCTTTTTAGATTCATCAGAGACTTTGACAGTCAGTCAGTTTAGAGAGCTACTGCTGATGGCATTAAAATGATAAGTGATTCTTGATGTGGGATTTGCCGTAACTGGCAAGTTATTTGATATATTCTGTAGTAGTCACTGTTTCTTTCTGATTTTCTGGCAGCAGTTTCTCCCAGTGGACCCAAAATAAGAATATGTCATGGTAAATGGTCTTATACTTGTATAGTGTGTTTCTATGCTTTACAGCAGACTCAAAGCGCTTTCACACTACTTGGATATTCACCCATTCGCACTCGTAAATGCTCACACATTCACACACCGGTGTTATCACCGGGAGCAACTGGGGGTTCAGTGTCTTGTTCAAGGACACTTTGACATGTTGACTGGATAAGCCAAGAATCGAACCGCTAATCCTCCGGTTTGGAAACGACCCGCTCTACCCCCTGAGCCACAGCCGCCCCCATGTGGTTGATGAATATGGCTGTAATGTTAAACTTTAACTACGCTGGCAGAATTTGGGTCATATATCTTGACCTGTCTTTTTGTGTCATTGTCTTTGTCAAAGACTTTTTTTTACAGTCCCACAGAAATTACATAAAGTTCTAAAATTATAATAATCTAATTCTAATCATGTCACTTCTTTACCGTTGTACCCCCTGCAGCTCATAAGATAAAGTATTACCCTTGGACTACTAGCAATTTTCAGAAAGGCACCAGGCCCAGATGGCGTGACCCCCTCCTGCCTGAAAGTGTGTGCTGATCAGCTGGCTCCCATCTTCACACTCATCTTCAACAGATCATTGAAGCTATGTGAAGTTCATTCCTTCTTCAAAGGCCCCACCATAATGCCCATCCCCATCAGTGGGGACCCCTCACATCATGAACACAAACTGTTATAGACCACTATAGACCCCCTGCTAGACTCCCTGCAGTTCGCCTACCGGGCAAACAGGTCAGTGGACGATGCAGTGAGCATGGCACTGCATTACATCCTGCAACACCTCGACTCCCCAGGGACCTATGCACAGGCCCACTTTGTGGACTTCAGCTCAGTGTTAAACACCGTCATCCTGGACATCCTCTACTCCAAACTGACCCAGCTCACTGTGCCTGCCCCCACCTGTCAGTGCATTACTAGCACCCGGACAATAAGCACAGGCACCCCCCAGGGATGTGTGCTCTCCCCTCTGCTGTTTTCACTCCACACCAACGACTGCATCTTGAAGGACCCCTCTGTCAAGCTCCTAAAGTTTGCTGATGATACAACGGTCATTGGTCTCATCCGAGACGATGACAAGTCAGCCTACAGACGGGAGGTTGAGCAGCTGGTTCTGTGGTGTAGTCACAACAACCTGGAGCTGAACACCCTCAAAACAGTGGAGATGACAGTGAACTTCAGGAAATGCCCCCCACCTTACCCCCCCTCACCATACTTGGCAGCACTGTATCAGCAGTAAAGTCCTACAAGTTCCTTGGCTCCACTATCTCCCAGGACCTGAAGTGGACGTCCAACATCAGGACCATCACCAAGAAGGCACAGCAGAGGATGTACTTCCTG